AGAGGGAAGAGTAGAAAAGAAAAAAATTCCATAGTGATTGCCCCCCAAAAGCAAAAACGAAGGGAAGAGTGGAGCAAAAAAGAAAAAACAGACATATTTTTTTTTCTTTTAAGCAAACAAAAATAATTAAAAACAAACACAAAAAAAAATAAAAAATTGTACTCCGAACAGAAAAAAAAAAAACAATTAAAAGCCGAAAAAAAAGACGTTCATAATGGTTGCCCTAAAGCAGCAAAGGGAAAATGGAAAAAATTAAAAGAAAACAAAAAAAATTATCCTCTGCGTAGTAAAATTTATTCCTAGCGGTGTGTGTGTGTCCGTGCAGGGAACGGCACAAGTGCTCCACACTGAGACCGCACACTCCTCACTGAGCCGAAAAAACCCATAACCCCAGAAGAAGCAGCGGCAGCAGTCCGCTCCCAGCAGAATTCAAGCTCACCTCTGGCACAACGAATTGTGCACCCTCAGTCCAAGAGGTATTCCTCTTTGCCGCTCCACCCTCACTCACTTCTTTAACTGCATGGGGATCCAATGTCATGGCACCGCTGGTGCTGCTGAATTTTTCTCTGGGCCGGGCACCACAGATACAGCAGGTGCAGCGGGTTTAGGAGCAATTTTTACTTGTGGTTCCGGAGCTCTCTTTGGAACGGGTTTCCTTTCCTTGATTGCAGTCATCGCAGTGGAATTCAGTGGGCGGTTGTACAGAAAAAAGTTCTTCACCATCACACGAGGTTTTTTGCTGGGCTTCTTCTTCGTACTGGACTCATCATCATCAAAGTCGCACGCGCCAAAGCAAAAGTCTGCGACATCAATTGGCCTCCCGTCTGTTGACAGAGCTTCTTCCTCCCCCAGCAACTCACCATCAATGTACACAGAGGCCTTATTGCCTTGCAGCATGAGTGCCACTTGGTATTCTTTCTTCGGCACCCAGGTGCCACTTTTTGTTATCTTCTCGTATTTGAATATCGTCACTCACTTGTTATCCGCGGTGTACGACAGTCTCATGAAATACTCGGGCCCAGCGTCACCCAACGCCGCAGTCAGTAGAGGAGTGTTCCCGCTCGGAGCCTCTTCGATGGTCACCGACGCCACAACTGTGAAGTTGTGGCTCAAGGATACATGACGCACATTATTAGCCCGAGTGTTCACGGGCAATGAGACCCTGGAGTCAGGCTCCGTCAACTGAAACCCATCTTTGAGTTTCTTTGCATTCGTAGTCACCGTTGCATTCAGGGAAAGGTACTCGTCGTTCCACGTGTCATCACTGGCCGCATTGGACAATACTGCCACCAGACCCGCCGTGGGTATGGTCAAGTTGGAGAAGAAAACGTCCTTTTGCGCCGAATTACTGAGGACGGACTTGATTGCACTCAGTTCCTCTGTCAGGCGGGAAAGTGAAATGGCACTGTCCTCACCATTGCCCCTCCGTTGTAAAAGATGCAAATAGCCATCCGAGTACAGCAGGTTGCTGGCAAGCTCCTTCTCCCCAGCATTGCCCATGCCAACCGGTCCAACATAAAACGAGCGGATGTTGTCCGTGACCCAAAGGCAGAGTGCATTGGTCCTTTCCGTTTGTCCCTTCCAGTAGTTCCCTCTCTGTGTGTAAAGCATGACCTTCCTGCCCCCAATGGTCGAGGTGATGAGAGCATCCACATGCAAGCCTCCGTCCGGATAGTCTTCCGATTGTGAGTTGACCCACACGCCTGGAAGCGTCCCGATGGTTCCCGTCCACGTTGTCCCCATGTCACGCGAATCGTACACCCTCTGGTCATTCTCGCAATCAACAATCATGAGAAGTGATCCCTCCCACTCGGTGACGCGGGGGTTATAGCAGTTGGGAGGAGACATACCCTCTGAGAGCAATCATTTTTTGCCGCCATTCTTCGAATAGACAATCGTGTAAAAAGCTTCATTTGGGTTTTCCTTCCTCGCCATCAGAGAAAACACGAGTGTGCCATCCTCCATCAGAACACCTGAGCCACCAGAAGGAAAAAGGGTATTCAATTTACTTTTGTGATTCAATGAATATTTCGAATCGAACAGCGGTCTTGGGTCACCCCATTTGATCCGTTCACCCGGATCGCCGGGTGTAGAATTCGTGACATCACCCACAAACAGTTTCAGCTCCAAGCCGCCCTCTCTCCAGCACACACCTTCGTAGGACACATCAGAGCCTCCCGCAGGATGAAACACCTTGTTGCCCTTCGTGATTGTTGTGGGGCGGAGCACAACGCCCAAACTCTCCTCTTCCTCAGCTGCACAAACCACAGTGTGTGCCTTCCATGTACCTTTATTAACCTTTTCAACAAGAGTGGACCAATTCCACGCAGCGTCGATGTACTCCGCCACAACATCAGAAGACGGCTTAATTGATGGACCACCTTGATATTCGGTTTCCATGCGACCCTCGGCAAAAGCAGCAATTACTCCACCAGCACTGACAAGAGAGGGTGAAACAAATGCATCCCTCTTCGTCCCTTGAGACCTTCCATCTTTCGATACAACCAGCGTCTGATTCGGCAAAAATAGATCGACCGTATGAGGCAATTGCACATTCCCCGAATTACTCGTCGCGGTGTTCGAAGCCCCACCACTGGAGCACATCATCACGACGAGGAGAAGCAGCACCGCGGAAGTAAACACACGCCGGGACATGTTGGGCCTCTGCGGCTCACTCTCTCTTCGTTCCCTCCTCCTTCCGCTGGATCCGGTCACGCGGCGACGGTTGTGTGTGCGGGGTGCCTTCACCGCAGCAACACGTGAGAGCATAAAAATATGTGTGTGTGGGCGGTATGTCTGCTGTTGGTCCTTTCAGTGCCTTCGGATTTCACAGTAGCGATTAGCGTTTAGTCGTAACTTCCTTCTTGGAGGGGAGCAACAGGCAACAGAGGCAGAAAGGCAGCAAAACAGTACACACCGCCACCACTCAATACAAAGCACAACATCACCATCCCATCAGTCAATATTCTCCAGCACCCCTCAACACCATAAAAAGATTAAGAAAAACAAGTGAGCAGCCTCCCAATGGGGGACCGCGGGCCACGGCCCTGCAAAAAAGACAAATGAGAGGGGGCTAGGTGTGGAGTGAGGAAAAAGAGAGTTGCACTGCAACGGCACGGCGGCGTGACAACCCGTGGGAAGTATCGATGCAGAACAGCACATCGCCTGCAGGAAAAGTTGCTTCTCCCGCTGAGCAGAGAGGAAAAACAGCCTCAGCAGCCCCAATGATGAGAGGTCGCCTGCACCTCCTCGCGGCACCTGCAAGCTCGGCAGACACAAAGATGCAGGTGACGCTCTGCTGCACGCATGACGGCCGTCACATCCTTCACAATGGAAATTGCATCCTGTCGCACCACACGCCGCAGTCGGTGCGCACAGTCTCCGTCTCACTCCTGTCCCTCTCCCTGAGAACTCATCGGTGGCCGTGGCACACCCACCGACATGTCAGAAAGCACTTGTTTTTCTTCTCCCTCACACATCGCACAGCAGCACCGCCAACCTCATTTTATCTCCCTTTATTTTACGTATCCTCTTCCGTCAAACCTTCCGATACTGCCGTCCGCCCAACTCCGTTCATGTCGTCTCCCCTTCAGGTGCTCGCACCACACTCACAGTCCTCTTGATTGTTATCGTCTGGCCGCATTAAGTTCCCATCAGCACCATTGGGAATGAATCCTCGCATGAATGAAAATTGTTGTCGCAGAGCGTTGTCGCCCTCTTAATCAAAGGGAAACAACAACGGATAAACGCCAGAAAAAAAAAGCATGGCAGTCTTTCCCTACGAATGTGTGCACCCCAACTCATTTCATCCGTTCCCCCTCGTCAGTCATCCATGCCCACAGCACCGCGAAGGCACGTTTTCACCCGTGATCCCGGAAAGAAATGCCGTTTCACTCACCACCATCACATCCACACTGGTGCGCAGTTGCCGCTCGCACGTACCCTCTTCCACATAAACAAAGCCAATCCACAAACGATAAAATAAAAAAGCAGCGCGATGCGTTGACAGATTCCTTCCGTTCCGTCTGTTTCGTGATGAAGCCCCGCCTCCTTGCTGATGTATTTCTGTCTCCTCTTTATGTCACCCACACAAATAAAATGCTCAAACAAAGTCCTGAAACCCTTTTATATGTCACCGACACCTGCTCTGCGCCTTGTGTCGCTTCAATAAAAGACCGTCATTCACAAATGCACCCCGATGTTCAAAAGGAATACCCGCACCCCGATAATCCTTTAACAGGGTATTAAGAGCAAGCTCAGAAACATGCACCACCAATACAATCATAAAGCCCGTAATGAAAAGTCCACTCCAGCATGGACCTTTTTTTAAGTCTTCATCGCAAACGGCCATGTACGAATTGAACTTGTCCAAACAAAACATTCCTCTGTGTCAAATCCATTCTCGTCATGAATCCTTCATGAAACCCCGCCGTACTGGTTAAACTTTCATCACTCAATCGGCCACGGCAAGCAAGAACGGAAACAGCTACATAACGACAATCATCTGGTAAAGCATGCCTTTGGCGTTGTAGGCGGATAATCGCACAGAAACAGTGCCCATCCACAAGGAAACAGCATACACTGCGGCTCCTGCACTCCCTAATAAGCGCCTCATGAAATAAAAATTTGTGTCACGATTTCAGAGCACTGAAGTACAAAAAAAAATGAATTGAAGGCAACAGTCGAGCACAAGTTCTACCGAGTCTTTCTCCGCAGGGAGAAAGGGCACCAAGCACACTGCGCTCGACATTCACTCACAATAACACACCAATAAATAAAGCAAGGGGAGTGTGGAAATGGATTTATTCCATTCAGCAGCCCCAGCGGATGATAAAATACAAAAGGGGCCAAACGTAACGATGGTTCCTATCATGTCACAAAAAAACGTCGTCATTCCATTTCAGGATGGGAATTAAGGAGTTAGCTGCAAGTACAGAAACCGTCTTCTCCACCCGGCACAGGACGCTGAGAAACTAGCCAACAGACCCAGAAAGAACAACATGCAGCAAATCGCTCTCAATATTCCGGTAATCCCTTCTCACGCCGAGTTATCGTCGCGGCCAACAAGTCCAGTTTGCGCGGTCCGCCTTTGTGAATTCACAAGCGCCATCATGATGAACAACCCACAAACATACCAAGGCAATCCGTCCGTGATGTCCTCAAACACCCTTGCAAAGCCTTCCAACACCTTCTGCCCCGTGATGCAGATCGTTTCTGGAAGTAAAACCATTCGTGGTAAAGAAGCGCATCCCTCGTCAAAGGCACATCGCCCATCACACGCGATGCTTGCGCCTCCAACGCCCCCCGCCCATTCGCCGAGAAGGAGACATGATCACGAGCAACAGCAGCAGTGGCGCGCACGTCACACGCAGAGAATCCTAATCAACCAAGCAAGTGATATTGAGGTTCAATTCGCTGATACCTCCAAAAAGCAATGGAAATATTGTTGGGCAGCAGATTTCTCGGACTAAACGTCATCCACACTTCAGCACATTTCGCGCCAAACATTCCCAAAAAACGCGTTGGCGTGCGTGTGACAGACGCAAGAGCAAGAAAAAGATGGAGCACAAAAAAACAATGAACCCCCCCCAAAAAAGAGCATTCTTACGTGTTCCCTCGCTTGCCCTCGCATGTCTCATTTCCGTGGGGCGGGCCTGTGGAATATGCGGGGGGCAGCCGGGCCCATCGAGGCGATTCCCATTCCCAAGCGTCATGACCCGCCGTGCGCTCCCGAGCACACGTTTTCGCATACCACGCGCCCGCGAGGAAATAGGAGGCGCGCCCCTTTGGCGACCGGAATTGTTGGTGTCTTTATTTTTTCGTGACATTTTGTGTTGTTTTTCTTAAGTTCGCCCTCCGGCGTGACAACGGCCGCTTTGCTCGCTCGTTTTTTTTTTTTTTTGGATTTGGTAGAGGTTTATCACCTTTAAGTTATTTATTTTATTTTATTTTTTAGCATGGCGTTTTGTGACTTATCAATGGCTTTGAATACCTTGCTTTTGCTTGCTCTGTTCGTCGGATATGGAGTAAATGCTGTTTTCTTGCCAAATGTTCATCCGCAAAATTTTGAAAAGAACGAGATTATTCCTATTCAGGTGAATGTATTGACATCTGTGCGAACCCACGTGCCCTATGACTATTATGATCATTTTCCGACATGCCACCCCATCGCGCCCCTCGGAGGTAAGGTGGGTAACATTGGTGGAGTTCTCATGGGGGATCGTATCAAGTCGTCCCCTTACGAAAATATTCGTTTGCTACACAATGTTACGTGTGAAAAGATGTGTGAAAAGGAATTTTTAAACGAAAAACAGCGGGCCTTTTTAGTTAAGGCTATTAAAGCAGAATACCGCATCAACTTGCTGCTAGATGGACTGCCGCTTGCTGAGGTCAATAAGAAACAAGAGTATGATATTGGAATTCCTCTTGGTTACATGAGCCGGGACGTTGTTTACATTAATAACCACATAAAATTTACGATAAAGTATTCTTTAGAGGAAGTAAGGAATGCTAATGGGGAATTCGTGCAGAAGTATCGAATATTATCCTTTGTTGGTAAGCCATACTCTTTGGATTATCGTCCCGAACATGTCTGTGAAGCATCGTGGACGGAAAAGGATGTGAACTCTCTAAATCCCCTGCCTGTCACGAATGATCGTATTATTTGGAGCTATGGTGTTTCGTGGATACGAACTGAGGATCAATGGTCCTCTAGGTGGGATGTTTATCTAAATATTCATGGGAAGAATATTCATTGGTATTCTATTATTAATTCTACGCTTTTTGTTGTATTTCTTGCACTATTTATTGCTGCATCCATGATTCGTATTGTTCGACGAGATCTAAGTAGGATGACTGTTATTGACCTTGAAGAAAATGACGTGCCAGATTACACAGGTTGGAAGTTGCTAAATCGGGATGTTTTTCGCCCGCCATCACACGGATGGCTTCTTGCCTGTTTTACTGGAACTGGGGTGCAGCTTATAGGGATGGCATTTACTGTGCTCATTTTTGCCTCTCTAGGGTTTTTTTCTCCACAAAGTCGCGGCAGTTTATTTACTGCACTTCTGGTTTTTTTGGCACTTTTAGGCTTGTATGCTGGATATACATCAGCAAGATTACTCAAACTGTGGAATATGGGAAAGTGGAAGTATGTTTTTGCTACTGGAACACTTATTCCTGGAGTGGCTTTCGGAACTTTTTTTATGATGGATTTTCTGTTATGGTCACAATCAAGTAGTGCTGTTGTTCCGCTGTTTTCTTTAGTCATCGTTATGGGAATGTGGCTCTTTGTCAATGTTCCTTTGGTTTTTTTTGGTGCCATAATGGGATTTAGGCGAAACACAATATCGGTTCCTTCGGTTTATAGCCAAATACCACGTCATGTACCTTCGCAACCCTGGTATAACAAAAGAATGTTTGTAATATTTTCAGGTTTTCCTCCTTTTTTGGCGGTTTTCATTGAAGTCTACTTTATTCTCGAAGCCCTCTGGTTAAATAGGTACTATTACGTTTTTGGTTTTTTGCTGCTTGTGGCCGTAATTTTGCTCTTGACCACGTCAGAAATAACGATAGTCATGGTATATCTTTCCTTATGTGCCGAAGAATATCGCTGGTGGTGGAGAGCTTTTCTTATAGGAGCAAGTTCAGGATTGTTTTTTTTCCTGTATTCTGTTTTTTATGCCATTGTGGGAAGTTTTCATATGGTTGGTTTTGTCCCATTGGTGATGTATTTGGGATATATGGCCTTGTTTAGCCTTTTATTTGCCGTGACGAACGGAACTATTGGCTTTTTTGCTTGTTTTTGGTTTGTACGCTATATATACCGGTTTAACAAGGCGGATTAGGGAGGGAGGGGGGGAAATTGCGTTTGAGAAGAGTTTTATTTTTAGGAATAGCATGAACTTTTTTGTTGGTTGTTTCCCGAGACAATAACTGCATTGAAATTTTAAGAGGAATGGCTTTTGCGATTATCAACCGATCATTTTTTTTCTTTTTTTAGTACTATACTGATCCCTCTGATATAGATGTGTATGTTTTAGGGGCTATTTCACCCTTCAGATTTCTGTTTTTCTTTTTGTTTTTGTTTTTTTATTTATTTCTATTTTCCCATAGAATTTTATGAACATTTGCATTTCAAGAAATGCAGGATTATTTGCGGGAGATTGAAGGTACATTGGCGAGGACAAATGAAAGAAAAAGCACTTTGCTTTACAGATTAGCAAAACGTAATGCCGAAGAAGAACGTCTTGCGCGGTTGGGAGTGCGTAGTATCCCAACCAATCCCCTTGATGTAATGGATACCCGGGTTGTTAAGTATGTCCTTTTTAAGTTGAAACGGGATATTGGTGATATGATTGCTAGAATGCGTAATCCGCAATTGCTTAGTATTGAAACTCATGGAGAAGTCGTTATCCGGGCTAAAAATGATGAAATCAATCATCTTATTGCCAAAAAAAATTCATGGGAAAGACGATTAGTAGCACTTACTGGGGAAGAATATAAGGTGGCATCATCTAGAAAACTATACTTTGGATGTGCAAAGGAGCTTCCGGAGGCTCAAGTTGAAATGAGCACGGCTGAGGAAGTTCTTACAGGGGATGCATTGGATGTATCAGAGCCCGAGTCCTTAGGTTCACAGTCTTCGGAAGGTATAGCGTCTTACTTTAAAAGTAGCTACCTGGAACAGCTTGCCGCGAGTGAATCCGATGACCTTTTGTGTCGTATTGAAAAGGCCGCAGAGCATAGTTTAAGGCTTGAACATGGAAAGAATAATGGAAATTTATTTCTGAAAAGGTTTAATGAGGAAAACTCTTTGTATGTTGTGGATGTTGATTTGCTCCCTGAAGAAGAGTATCGGCGCAGGATTTTAGATGCAAAAAGGGAGCTGCTGAAAAAACGACTAGGAACCCTAAAGAAATAAATTTCTGATGAATGTCCTCATTATCTTCATTATTATTATCGTTTTTGTTGTTGCTGTTGATTGTGTTCTTATTGATATGTCATTAACGAATCGTTACTTATTTCTGTCTTATTTTTTTTTTATTATTTTCTTTGCTACATTCATGCACCCTTTCGTTGTTGTTGTTGCAATATATTTTTTGCGTAAAAACCGAAGATTCAATTGGTTTTTTAAAACCAGAAGTAAAGGTTAAAGCATGACCGGGTTAACTGTAAGACGCAAGCGATCTCGAGGTCTGACACCGCACAAGCAGTCATTTGACGCAGCGGTTGTTTTCAGGCGGGATGATGTGCCAGCACTTCCTAAAAAACCTCTCCAAGACGAAGAAGGCAATGGTACACCTCATGATCCGTTTCGGTTGCCCTTACGAAATGAACCCAATGAAAATGGGTGCCACCATTGCTTCACGAAGCGTTGTTTTTGTGTTCTTTTTGATCGCATGTTGAATCATGTTTACAGTAACTTATATTGCAAACGCATCACAGAAGTTGCAGGTTCACGCCACTTATGTGCAAAATCACTTTTGCCAACGTTCGTCTCTCGAATGGTACGTTTGATGGAAGTAAAATCTGAAGATACATTTTATGACCTCGGATGCGGTAACGGATCCGTTCTATTTCAAGTGGCTTTTCTAACAGGTGCTCGGTGCGTGGGAATCGAGATTAGTGAGCACAATGCCAATGTTGCAAAAACTGCTTGGGAGAGCCTTAAACCACAATTAGAGTCTATTTCTGGAAGAAAAATGCCCGATTTGAAAATAATAGCTGCGGACATGACAAGAGTGCTTGCCGAAAAGACGATGTTTAATGAAGAAGGTGGGAAAACAGCGATATTGCTATCTAATCTACTGTTTCCAAAATCACTAACGCACTATCTTTCAGAGCGTCTTCGTCGTGTTCCAAGTGGAACACGAATTCTTTGTTTTGATGATCTTTATCCACATAGCCGTTCCGTCGCCGCGATTCGAGATCCAGAGGCTTTTGAGATTTTTTCCATGATGGATTACCGCTGGCAGGAGCGTAGTGTGGAATGGTGCTCAATGGATGGGCCTTTTTACATTCATCGACGAAATTGAGGACCAAAAGAACGCACTGTTGGACAGAGGATGTGCACTTTACTTTGGTTTTTACTTTGTGTACCCTTGTGTATGTTGTCTGTTTACTTTGTATTGCATTGTAACCCTGAACATTCTGTCAATGGCTAATCCATTAAATAGCTCAATGAGTACGTGGTTTTGTTGTTGTTGTTTTATATAGATATATATGTATATATGCTTTTTTTTTTTTTTTTTCCTTCTTTTCCCAGATTATTTATGAGAGTCTTAAGAATAGTACTGTGGGACTCCACATATATCTGGGAGGACTGGACTGCACTTTCATCTGCTACGGCCAGGAAAAAATGAACGCAAAAGGTTCATTGAAAAAGGTGAGCATTTCTATTTATTTCAGGTGCCGTAATACAAAACTTACAAATTCAAAATTGGATTTGCCATTCATACACCAAAAAAGCCTTGCAGTATTCACACACTTGTGTGGATATATGTGTGGTACATCAGTTTGATGAATGTTAACCTACGGCATTTCACAGATGAGTATTTTTAAGAAAAACGGTGAGGAAATTTACTTGTATTCTAATGGCTCTTCAGAGCCTCTTTAAAAGAGGCTTTTTGGGGAATTGGTGGGAAAAGGGTGGAATTTGAGATGTACTTTCTTTTATTGGTTTTTGAGCATTGAGAAAGGATATCATTTGTTTATCCCTCAACAGTGTGGCGACTGCCATAACGGTCGCATATTGTCTGGAGCCTTGCCGCAATTACTGCCATCTTTTTGCCCATTGGCGGTGTAATATTTATTGCTATTTCTATCTGGGGAGTGAAGCAACTAGAAAAACAAAATGTTCCCTTGCTCTGCTTTGTTTTCCTGGGCACGCGTAAGAACCAAGGAAAAGGGGAGCTTTGGATCCTTTCCATCTGTTTCTTTTGCAGTTTTTAATTATTTTTCTTTTGCTTAAATATTGGCGCTTTTTTCTTTACTCTTACTTCAACAGTTTAATTCGGTGACAACTATGAACGCCAAACAGTGGCTCGCAAAGCTTGTTTCTTTCGACACGACAAGCCGAAACTCGAACCTTGAGCTCATCCACTACTGCAAGGACTACCTGGAGGGACTCGGTGTGAAATGCACGCTGGTGCACAATGCAGAGAAGACTAAAGCAAACCTGTGGGCGACTCTGCCGGGTGAAGGCGGCGTGACGGAGGGCGGCATTATTCTCTCCGGCCACACGGACGTGGTCCCGGTGGACGGGCAGAAGTGGAACAGCGATCCGTTTACACTGACGGAGCGGGATGGGAAACTGTACGGTCGTGGCACGTCCGACATGAAGGGCTTTGTTGCCGTGTGCATGTCTATGACCCCCGAGCTCCTCAAGATGAAGCGCGCGAAACCCGTTCACTTTGCCTGGACATACGACGAGGAAGTCGGCTGCATCGGTGGCCAGGTTTTGACAGATTTCCTGCGGGAACACAAAATCAGGGCGGAATGCTGCATTGTTGGTGAGCCAACCTCTAATAAATTGGTTGTCGCACATAAGGGGCTTTTTTTGTATCGTGTTTGTGTGCATGGCAAGGCGGTGCATTCTTCCTACGCCCAAACGAAGCAAGGTTGCAATGCTGTCTATTACGCCGCAAAGCTCATTGTGAAAATAAACGAAATTGCAGAGAACATTAAATTTTATGGTATGCAAGACCCCTGTTTTGACGTTCCCTTTACAACGATGTCACCAAATTTAATTCAAGGCGGTAATGCCCTAAATACGGTTCCCGCGAAGTGCGAATTTGTCTATGAAATGAGGTATTTACCGGAGGCCGAAGCTGAGAAGTTTGAAGAAAGGATAAAAGCGTATGTGAACGACACACTTCTTCCGTCTATGAAGAAAGCATTTGGGGATGCACGTATTGAACTGGAGAAATTGTCAAAGACTCCTCCTTTTAAAGATGCCAATGAGAAGGATCCCTTTACGCTTTTAATGCGTCAAATTACAAAGGACTCCACTAAGCGTAAAGTGGCCTATGGCACCGAGGCTGGTCAATATCAGGCCATCGGTGTACCAGCAGTCGTATGTGGCCCTGGCTCCATATTGCAAGCACATAAACCGAATGAATTTGTAACATTGGAGCAACTGGACGAATGCGCGAGGATAATTCGGAAGGCCATTCAAGGCGATGGAGCTGTGGCTCGTCCACATCTATAGAGATGTTAGCAGGGGTATTTGATTTTTTTTGATATATATTTTTAGGGTTATGGTAATTTTAGCAAATCCAGGCAGGTTAGGAAAATTCTTATTTGTTTTTCTTGTTTGTTTTTGTAAAGAAACAAACAATTAACGGGGAAAAACAGAAAAAAAAATGGCTAATGGGGGTGTAAGGTGGATCTCGAGGAATAGTGGCTTTTTTTTCTAATCCTATTGATTGCATTAAATGAGGGGCTAGAATTATGCCACATATCCAAGAAATTGACATAAAATGGGCAAATGAAAATACACAAGAGCCTGAACGATGCAGTATTTCTGTCTGCTCGTTGTTTTCAAAGGTTCGTTGTTTTTGTTTTTGTTTTTGTTTTTGTTTTTGTTTTTGTTTTTGTTGTTTTCTTTTCTTTTCTTTTCTTGTTGTTGTTTTGTTTGTGTGATCACCCGAAATCCAATAAGTACAGATATATTTTCTTTCTTGCTTTCTTTTTTTTTTTTTCTTTTTACCATGTGTGCTCTGGCCCCCAGTGCTCCAGATTAATGCAGGAAGGGCTCCCAGAGTGTTTTCGTGTTGTTTCACAGCAAAGAACTTCTGGCGATGAAGCTGTTGGAACGGCTCTGGAAGATATTCACAGGTTTGTATTTGAGAAGAGTCAGAGGAACATGGAGACGTTGTCACCTTCTGAACTTCTTTCATCTTGCGATTTGGCGGTGAAAAAGGTGGGGGGACAACTGGGTAAAAGAAACCCATTGGGCATAGCACATCTACCCATGGGAGTGGCCATTGTTGAGATGATTGCACGCCTAACTCGAATTTTATTCTGGGGTATCACTGTATGTTCCGAGATGTCTTTGCCACGTAAACTGAAGATGATTGAGGAAGACGGAGAAGAATTGGAGGAGGTACTTCTGCCGCGTTTTTTTTTGAAGCTCTCAGTGAGTCCCATCATTCTGCGAGATGTATTAATGAAAGCCCCTTGGGATGTCTTTTCGCGTCTCTATGGCACAGAGAGCGCCCTCCCAGGGGAAGTCAGAGAGTGTGTCCCTGTGGAAGTCAGATCTGTTCTCAGCAGTCTTAAGGTGAATTTTGGATGTGACTTTCTTTTTCATATTTGTGTTCCGGTAGATTTGGCAGGCTCGCATCGGGAGGTGGTCACCACTGCCGCCGAGGCCATCGATTCTCATATGGCCACTGCATTTAATTTGGCCGGTGGTCTCTCAGCGGCTGTGGAGGCAAATTGCGACAATAAAAATATTGGAGACAACACAAATCATCATTTGTTTTGCGATAAACGTTGTACACGTTCTTCCCTTCTCGGCAGGAGCACTTCCCGTTCCGAGTCTTGGGATTTTAAGACGGGTCGAAAACCTCTTTTTTCGTCGGGGGAACGGTCGCAATTTACGCAATTTATTCATTCCCGCCACTGTTTGCCTGCTTACAAGCTAACTAGAAGAAGGTCGGGAATACTGCCGGGGCCAGGGGCGGGTATTGAGTGTGCGGATTACCTCATCAATGGAGCCGGTCATTATTCCCCTGCTACTGAGGAAAGCCACGTCTCCTCAGAGGAGCACGACGGCGAGACAGAAGTGTTGGCACCAGAAACCCCAGTAAAGAAAAGGGTGCGAGCCGAAAAAGGAGTTGTGCCACCATCGCCTTCGCGTCCTACTCGCGAATAAATGGCGTTCTTTCTCGACTCCTGGCTGACGGAGTCGAAATGATGGCGGTTGTAATGTTTCCTTCATTTTTTGCTTCCTCCTCTCTGAGGGGTGAAGATGTTTCACTTCTCTAGAACGACCGCCTTGGTTTTCGTTGCGTACCGTATATATATGTACACTCTTTGCATTTGCGCAACTCCGTCACTTTTTTTTTTCTTCTTTCCTTCTCTTTAGTTGCTATCTGTTTGATAGGAACTGCACGTCTAAAGAGGTGAAGGACTGCGGAAAAATGGACATGCGTGGACTGGCTCACTTTATACAAGACGTGCGGAAAGCGACGAGTAGCCCGGCTGATGAGAAGAAACGAGTTGACGTGGAATTAGTTAAGATACGCTCAAAATTCCGAAGCACGGCAGAAATGACCACTTACGATCGAAGAAAATACGTCTGTAAGTTGATGTTCATCGCAATGCTTGGATACCCCGTGGAATTTGGCCATATGGAGGGTGTGAAGCTTCTGGCTCTAAAATCCCCGGCGGAGAAACTGATCGGCTACCTCTCTGCCACCGTTTTCCTCCACGAAAATCATTCCCTGTTGACTTTGGCTACACATATGATCTACAAGGATCTTTTGTCAGAGCAGGAGTTTAATATAAACTTGGCACTGACAGCGATTGCCAACGCGGGTGGGAAGGAGTTTGCGGAGGTCATGTCTTCAAGGGTGAAGAGTATTCTTTTAAGTGATCGTTGGAATGTACATGTTCGCAAGAAGGCAGTGCTGACGTACTTACGCATATATAGAAAGTATCCCGATGTTGTGGATCTTGGTGACGTTATCCCTGTTGTGACAGATCTTCTTCTTAGTCCACTGCTTGGTATGAGTGGTTGTGCTGCCGTCTTTCTTACGGGTTGTCTTAACAAAAGCAATTTTCATCTTTTTCATTCCGTACCCAATCGAGTCATTGAACTCCTTGGAAGGATTATACTTGAAAAGCAAACTGATCCGGGATATGTCTACTACGGTGTTCCTGCTCCGTGGTTGCAGGCGATGTCCATGCGGCTTCTTCGAGGCTTTCCAGTTCCTACAGATAGTTTGCTGAAGGAAAAAATTCTTCTTGTCTTGCGGCGGATTGTGCAGGCGACTGACAGAGTGCTTCGGGACGCGCAAACCCAACAGAAGCAAAAGGGCACTATGAATCGTGTGAGTGCAATGAATGCCGTATTTTCTGAGGTGGTTTTACTTGTTCTCCAGTGGGATTTGGACACTAGGCTTCATAATGAGTGTCTGGATGTTCTTAGCTGGTTTGTGATGGAAAAGAAAGATTCCAACTTGCGTTATTTGGGGTTTAGTTTGCTGTCACAATTGTGTTCTGCAAGGAGCTCCTACAATGACTACAGGACATACTGTAGACAGTATCAACCACAGGTGGTTGTGGCTCTTCATGACCCTGACGTTTCCATCCGTACGAAAGCGTTGGATGTCACTGTGTGTATGTGTGACGCTGAAACTTCCAGGGAGGGTATCGGGGCCCTGCTTTCTTATCTCCCCATTGCGGATGGACTCTTTAAGGAGAATCTTGTACTTGCCATTTCTCACTTGGCAGAGGTGTACTGTGTAGACTACGGGTGGTACGTTGACACCATTCTCTCTGTCATCGCCCACGCCGGCGGTCTTACCCCGCAATTCATCATTTACCGTGTTGTAAATGTTATCATTAATCACAAATATGTTCAGAAAAGGGCGGCCACAACTTTGTTTAGTTTGTTGAAGATTCGTAAAACTGTCCCTGAGGTCCTGTTGCGTGTCGCCGCCATTGTTTTGGGCGAATTTGGGTATCAAATTGCAGTGAATGCGGAAAGCACACCACTCATGCAGGTGACCGTTCTTCAAAACCACCTTAAAGACGCCTCGGAGGAGACTCAAAGTCTCCTGTTAAGTACGTTTGTCAAGCTTTACAATTACTACGATATTGCGGTGCGTGAAAAAATACTGAATACACTTTGTCAGTATAGAAGCAGTTTCAATGTTGAGCTGCAGCAACGCGCCATGGAGTACGTCGGGCTCATCGAACTAGGCAATGATGAACTCCTCCAGAAGGTGTTGGAGCCATTGCCGAGCTTCAAGGAAGATGATTTTTCGCTTGTGCTACCTGGGCGCGCCCAGCGAGAGGAAGCGAATGTTGCCGTGTCTTTGAACATCTCTCGGGATAAAAGAGAGAAGTTGGTCGCCCCAAGGGCAGACAAGGAGCCTGATAAATTGAACAGCTCTGATCTCCTGGTGATCAATCGCGATGTCCCCTTAAATTCCGGTGGTGAGTCCGATGTGGACTTGGAGGCGTTGTTTACGGTCAATTCAACGATGCAATTGGATAGAATGGCAAAAGAAAATGAACTGTTACGGCGACGGTTTATTTTTTTGCTTGAAGAAACGTCTGGTGTCCTTTATTCCGATGAGTTTGTAGAATTGCACTGTGAGCAGCAGTACCGCGGAGCCGATGCCCGTGTCACAGTCACAGTTAGAAACAAGATGGCAGTGGGACTGGAGAAAGTACATGTGGAGACCACTGGAGTAGATGTTGGGCTGCTGTTGCAGTCAAGGAATGAACGCGGGGATATCGCCTCTAGTGGGGTTCTACGAGTGGAATTTGTTGCCAGGTCTTGGGCACCATTTAGGGAGGCCCCTACTGTACGCCTCTCCTACAAGAGACCGGGAGAATGCACCACGGAGATGAAGATTCTTGCCCTGCCCATTGTGACCACACGGTTCTTGTCTCCGTACGATGAGAAAGATGAAATGGCGTACGACACGCTGTGCAAGCAAATGAATTCTGCTTCAGTTCGGACCCGACGCCTATCCGCAGGATGTGTCACTCACAATGGAGCAATTGAAGGGGTATTAAAAGGGATGGGATTCTGTGTAATTCATCCTGTTGATAGCGCGGAATGGAAAGCCATGGCAGCCCATGCCACGCAATCTCATGGCATTTTGTCTTACGAGCCTGCGGTGGTGAAGGTATTTAGTCACTCCCCCGGGGCATTTACCGCCCAAGTCATTACCAAGAGTCATTTACTCAGCGTTGCCATAATTGATGTTTTGGAGCAAACTTTGCTTAGCAAGGGGCAAACAGAGTGTGAAGAGAGGTTCAGTGTTTTTGGAGGGAATTTAACCACTTTACTCTCATGAATTATCTTTTTTTTTTTTTTTTTTTTTCTGTATCTCTCTTCCCCACACTTTTTCGTTTCCCGCGCACTGTTACGCCTTATTGCTTTTTACGCTCCTACGGTTGACTGTTTCTTTCTTGTTTCTTCCCTTTTTGTGGTTTTTTGCGCCCTAAGTTACGTCCACTGCATGTATGGACGGCAATCCCGAACACATCTTGATACGTGCACGGATATATGCGCACATCTTTTCACGTGCTAGTGGATATTGCTGCACCCCACTCTCTTCTTTTCTCTTGCTTTTTCCTTTTTCCCATTCCGTGTGCGGACCAGCTCACCGAATTCAGCAACGCTACTACTACCAATAATGATGATGCGCCGTGTGCCGTGCACCGTGTTGTTCCTTGCGCTGTTGTGCTGCTTCTGCTCGCATGTGTACGCGACAAAGGATGTTGATGATGACATGGTGCGTGTGAGTGCGGAAGTGTTGTGTGGAAGCGGAAATTCCAGTGCGCGCTGGCGTTTAACAGGCGAGGGCGAGTGGACAGTTTGTGGTCCTGATAAGAATCCCGACGGTCGAGATGCAATGGACGAGGAGGATCCCTCTGCGATGGTCTGCAATGTGGCGAGACCGAGCTGCGTGGATTTCAATGCCACGAGTACTTCCGGAAAGAAGGAGGAAATCACCTTCAATTTTGACCTGCTGACGAGCAAGACCACCGAACTGTACAAGCGATGGGAAAGTATCCGTGCTGATCCGGCCAAAAAAACCGGCACGAAAAGTGAAGGCAATGCGGACAGCAGCGACATCGTCACCGTGCGGGTGCACACACCACCGTTGATGTTGCTGCTGCTGCTGCTGGTGGTGACTGCCGCTGCCACCGCGTGCTGAGGTGTAAGCGTCATGGCAGAGATGTTCCATACCCTGTGGGTTCTCATTTTGCTTGATGCCCTTGTGGGCCAAACTCTCGCCTGTTCTTGAGGGCTTTTTTTCTTTGCATTCTTTTTTTTTTCTTTTTTTTTTTTTTTTTGCTTCTTTATGTTGCTTTTTCACCCTATGCGCTCTCTCATGGGTAACGCACCCTCCTCCTCTGTTTGCTTCTGTCGCCCAAACGCGGAGCCGGTCGCGTCATTGTGAGTCTCATGGATCCCCCCAAATGAGAGGCGAGGCCAAAAACACCGCGATGCCGATGCGTGATTTGTGGATGTGAGTGTGGGCCTGTGACCAGGCAATTGTGTTGTTTTTTTATTATCATTTGTGTGCGCTTGCAGGCAAACATGTTTTCCACGCTGCCGAGGAACAAAAATCCTGCTGAAATTGCTTTTTGGTGAGTAATTCTTGTGAGAATTTCCTTCGTGGTGTTTTTCTCTTTTATGCGTTGGGCTCCTCACTGCTGGCTGTGGGCCCCTGTGCTTTGCCCGCTGCCCCCATGCAATTTACCTGCCGGATTCCTCTCGTTTTAGTGTGCCAGTATGCCTTCCATTTTTTGTATTGTTGTTGCGTGTGCGTGTAGCAAGACACATAGGCACGAATGTATTGTTGGATCTCCGCGGCGCCGTCACTTCCCCTGGCGATGTGAGTGCCGTGTGCGGCGGCTGGCTCCTTCTTTCGCCGTGCAAGGAAGAGCGACAGAAGGGGAGTGCGCTTTTTTTCTCCTTATTCGTGGGCGCAGGGCGTTTTTGTGTGAGTAGGTGGAGCGGGGCGCCGTGTTCCATTGAGGGTGGAATGGCAGTGCGGTGTGGATGCCACTTCGCGGGCGGCTGAGAGCCCAGCTGTGCCTGCGACTGTCAAGTTGCTAATATGTATGGGTGCACGAGTATGTTTTGTTTGTTGTTATTTTTGTTAACTGCCTACTATATTCTTAAAGAACAGTGGCTTCTACTTTTTTCTTCTCTTTCACTTTTCTTTTTTCTTTTTTTCCTTTATTCTTAGTGCTAATTAAATCATGGCTGGGAAGAAAGCTCATCCCATCAAACGGGATTGGTACTGGAATCACAATGACCGCTTTGAGATTTGGCATAGTCTTGACTGGCCTTCTGTTCGTCGTGGGCGCCAGATCTACACGGAGGTCTTTGCTCCATGTCATCCTTTGGGCCGCATGACTTTCACTCATTTTCAGGGGTTCATGACACGCGAGGAAATCAAAAAGCTGGCATCGCAATATGAGGTGATCGATTCCGAGCCCGATGCCGAGGGGATGTTGAACCCGCGCCCGGGCAAACCAACAGACACGCTTCCTATACCCTTTCCAAACCAGCGTGCCGCCCAATTCGCGAATAACGGTTCGGAGCCGCCGGATTTGCAGCATTCTGTCTTTGGCAAGGAGGGCGGACCAGACTACATCTTTTCCCTCATCACGGGCTACAACTGGGGCAACGGCGAGCTCTTGGATGTCCCTCCGTTCGCCCCGGAACTGAAGCCCGGGCAGTTCTGGAATCCCTACTTCAAGGACTGTGTTCTCTCCATGCCGCCCCCGCTGTCGGACGGCATGGTAGACTACGAGGATGGCACTCCGGCGACGACAAGTCAAATGGCAAAGGATGTGGTGAACTTCCTGCGCTGGTCTGCTGAATCCGAGTACGATGACCGGCGTGTCATGTTCTGGAAGGCATTCACAACGCTCGGACTTGTGAATTGTATTCTTTTGCACTACGGTCAGAAGAACACTAACTGGCGTATTTACGGCCGCACAACATTCCGCTACTGGAAAAAGACGTGGTAATTAGGGGGGTCTTGCATTTCTGTCTGGGGAGATTGGGATAAAATTGTTGATTGTCATCTTTAGAGTCTTAAAAAAAAAAAAAAAAAAAAAGAAGAAAAAGAAAAAAGAAAAAACAATGGAGGAGAGGCGAAGGTAGTGAATTGAAATATGTAAATGGGGAAGAAAAGAGCAGAGGTAGTTTGGCAGAGAGTATTGTTTAGCATTTAGGGATATGTCTTGGGAGGAATAGAAAAAAGGGGAGGGATAGCAGCGGTATCCATTGAGTCTGAATTATGTCAACTCTTTCTCTATCTATCTCTCTGGGAGTGTGTATGTGTTGTGTATGTCCTTTCCTCCATTTTTCTTTTTCTTTCGTTCTCGCATGTGTGTCTCTCTTTCTGTGTGCGCATGCATTCACGCCAGCGAATGTGTGCACACGAGGGATGGCTCTGATTTTATTCGACATCTGTTGGGGACGAAAGGGAGAGATGAGATGCCTGCTTTTGTTTTTCTGCTTTTTCTTTCTTGCTTCTTTTTTTTTTTTTTTTTTTTTGCATTTCCTGTAGATTGTTGCCGCACGCATCATTGCAGGGCGCGGTGGGAAAATGCTTCGCACAACCGTCATTGGGCGCCTCTATGCCACGCTTGTTGTGATGAAGCGGAGTGGGAAGCCCTCCGACACCCCCGAGTACAAGCAGGTATACCTCCCGTACGACACGGCTCCAACACCACTAGAATTGGAGCGGGAACGAAAGAAGCTCCAGCAGGCATACTACGGTCGTATGGAACACCGCAAGTTGGTTCCGGTAAAGGAGGTCCCGCTGAATGTCTACACATACGGAAAGGAGGGCATGTCGCTGCCCATTTCGATTTTCAAGGATCAGCAGGATCCTGTCATTGGCCCTGAATGGACGTATCCTGGCATCTATGAAAACAAGCTGGCGGCCCAGCACTGGTACACGGAGGAACTTTTTAGCAAAGAAACCCAAAACAACTTTGACTCCCCGTGGCAAAAGCAAATTCTTGAGAACCAAGTAAAGCGGCGCATGGCAAAAGTTGCGTTTCGAATGCGACAAGTCAACATGAAAGCGGTGGATTTGTTTCAAAAGGAACGGGGATCCGCGAAAAGAGGAGCCGCGGCTGCTGCTGCTGCTGGTGGTGGTGGTGGTGTTGCAGCGGAGAAGGGCAAAGCCGCGGCGAAGAAGAAGTGACCACTTCTCGCTGCCGTCTCTGTTCATTTTAATGTTCTCCTTTACGGTTTCACAGGGGACGGAGGGAATTGTTTGGACCGCCTCGCATATTCACGTGCATATTCTCTTTCCTTCTTTTTTTTTTTTTAAAAATGTGTGTGTCTGTGTGTTTACTTCCTTGCTTTTCCCCTTCTCTTCTCTTTTCTCTCTGGTTGGATGGCCCACCAGGATCCAAAGGAGACACGCTACTAACGAGAAACAACATAATAATAACAATAATAATAATAATAATAATAATAATAATAACAAGAACCACAAGAAGAAAAAAAAAGAAAAGGACTGCAACAACAAATTAACGATGAAGACGAGTTTATTTCTTGCACTCCTTCTTCTCTCAGTTTGCTGCCCTGTCGTTCAGGGAGGGAACTTGTATCCGAGGTGCCAGGGGGAACAATTGCTGGGAACCGCAGATGCGGGTGAAGAGTCGGTTTTCTTTAAAATACGGCGATACTCAAAGGCCTTGACATTGACATGTCTCGCGTACGAGGTTACCAGCATCTCGGATGTGGGAAGGGGTGAACGGGATCCGTGCCAGGTGGAACATCAGACGGAGTACCAATACCGCCTCGTCATAAGAGCAACAATGGTAGACGAGGCTACTGGGAAAATCATCGAGACGGATTATGATGTAAAGGAATTGGCAGGAGGATCCCTCGGTGATCTTCTAATTCATAGTGCGGAACTTAGTAAATTCTCTCTCGTATTTATGAACAAGGCCACAAACGGTCGATGCAGACTACGCATACGTGCACTTATGAGTTACACGGAGAGGACGAAGCCGTTTGAACGGGAAGGTTTGCCGGTGGTAATTGGGCTAGAGCCTACGAGTGTGTACAGGAACCGCAGTTCGACGACGAAGCTTTTCCTGAGTTATCCGAGTGGTACAAACATGCAAGAGGCGCAGTCGGACGTTGTGAAGCTTACAAACTTGGAAAAAGAGTGTGCGGATGAACATTCTCAGGGACATGCTATGCGTCCGCAGCCTACCCCTCAATCCATGGAATTTATTGATGACACTTCGTTAGTGGGGTTGCGTGATTACTACTTTGACTCTTCGGAAACCCTTCGCATTTGCTACCACAAAAAGGGAAAATCGGTGGGCGCTGAGTTGGCAATTGTTCGTGTGTTTGAATGTAACCCGTATGGCTATGAGGTGGTTAAGGGTCAGGACGATGAGGGTCGTGTATATGTGGGAGTGGAAACGACTATCAAGTTCTATGGGTATGATCTCGACACTCGGGATCTTGGAGACAGGGCAAAGTTTGCCAATGACTTTGAGGATTGTGCAACGGCGCCTCCCGCTGGTGGCGTGCCAGAGGGCCTGCCCCTTGCTCCTGCTGAGAGCTATGGTCCTGGCACCAGGTACACACTGTGGACATGGGTGTTAAGAGAAGGCGGTTTTTTCAAGGTGTGCTACAAGACTCGCGATGGGGCGTGGGTGGAGGTGCCCAATATCATTGATGTGGCCTATGACGCCCCCTCTACCTACGCGCCCGGCAGCTCCAGCCCCCCAAGCATCCCGCGGCCGAGAGACCCGATTACCCAGGAGGAGTGCCCCATGGCAATTGAAAGGCCAGGCGAGCCTTGGACTGTCTACAAGAGCTTGAAACTGACCTTTAATGAGAGCAAAATTTCTGAAGAATATCTTCTAGTTCTCAGTCGGGCATTTTGCATTCCACGATCCGCTCTTGCTGTGACGCGCATGACACATGATGGAGAAGGGCATCAGGTGATCTATCTTTCGATCCTTTGTGAAGAACTTGGAGATGCGGCCCCCTGTGACACGGTGGAGAGGCAGAATTACATTCTCACCCTTGGGAAGAGCAACTCAACGATCCTGTCAGATATCGGCATCTTATCCGTTGAAGGAAGCCGGCACCTCTTTGCGTTTGGAGACGATACGGTAACTATGAAGGGTACCGGCGGCCGCGTCGTGACCCTGCTGATTACATGTGCCACGGTGGTATTAGTAGCGGCCATGGCTGTCTACGGCGTGCTGAAGTACCGTGAAAATCGTCAGTATTTTATTCAGTTTGGCAACGACGACGCAGAAGTAGAGGACATGTACGCTGCCAGTGACCCAAAAAACACAGAAAATAAAGGGCCATTGCCTGTCAAGGACGCTGTCATTGAAGTGGAAGAGTAAGTAAGGTGGGTAAAAAGGAAGAAAAAAAGGAAAGAAAGAGGACAAGCACGTTGGAAACGAAAAGAGAGCAAAATATATTTTTATATAAACAGCCAATCCGGGCGATGACTATCTCATGCATAAATGTACGCATGCAAATGCTGAACGAGTAGTAAAGGAAACTGAACGTCGATAGAGTATATTTCTTTTCCACTCTGCTCCTCCCTCCCTTCCTCCTTTCCCCCCTTACATGGTTTCTGATATCGCTATTGGGGCTACCCGCAGGGTTGTGGCAGAAGTGCGGACAATTGGGGCACAAAGAAGAAGAAGAAGAAGACCTGCAATAAAGAAAGAGACGAGGAGAAGAAGAAGAAAAAAAAAAAATGATAAAATCCAAGCAGACGAGGTGGAAAAAAACAAAAGAAAAAAGAAGGAACAAAAGAAAAACGAATAAAAAAAAAAGGTAATATGAATTTTTCAGCTGCTCATCCATTGAAATATATATATATAAATAAATATATATAATTTGGTGTGGCAAGGGAGGAAGAGGTGGTGGTGGTTGTGGTGGAATGAGAAGAGAAAAGGGAAGGGAAACGAAAAAAGAATTTTCCTTTTTTTTTTCTCCTTTTTTTTTTTTTTTGTTGGTAAAACGAAGAGTTAAAAGTCTTTAATGGCGCATGTCTTTCTTTCCTTCTCTCTCTCTCTCTCTTCATATATATATATATCTGCGTGTTTGCCTGTTTTTTTTTTTTTTTTTTACCTTATCGTGTCTACCGCGCTGCTGACGTGCCTTTTCATTTGCTTCATCCGGAAGGAGTGTTTTTTTGTTGTTGTTGTTTTTGTTGTCACGCATGCACTCACGGCGGCGAACATTCCCCGAAGTGTCTTTTCCATTTATTTTTTTTTTTTCCTCTCTCTTTCTTGCCTGGTTGCCTTTCTTGTAGAAGTTGCATTGCTTGAAGGAAACGAATAGGAAGGGGAGGACGTATGCTTTGCCGCAGCATTCTGTGTCGTTGTGCGGCGGTTGCCGCGCCCTTGCATGCGGGAAAAAGGCCGCTGTTGAACACGGAAAAAAAGCACGGCTTCACACATAAAGATACGCGTCGTATTGATGAGCTCAACCTGGTTGCCTACGAGTGGCGGCATGACGCGACGGAGGCGGTTTATTATCATATCGACACAGACGACCGGAACTGCACCTTTTGCATTGGGTTTCGCACTCCAGCCGAAAATAATAAAGGGGCTTCCCACGTGTTGGAGCACACGGTGCTGTGCGGCAGTAAAAAATACCCTGTGCGGGATCCCTTTTTTATGATGATGCGCCGCTCTTTGAGTACATTTATGAATGCCATGACAGGTGCCGATTACACTCTGTATCCATTTGCCACAACTAACCAGCAGGACTTCTGCAACCTACTGGATGTGTACCTTGACGCCGTTTTTTATCCACTTTTGCGTGAAGAGGATTTTAAACAGGAGGGTCACCGTGTGGAGGTTGAGACGGCCGGAGAGGGAATGGGGAAGCGGTTGGTGTACAACGGAGTCGTGTTTAACGAGATGCGAGGGGTGGTGTCGGAGCCGTCGCAGCACTACGCACATTCACTCATGAGGCTCATGCTTCCAGGAACGCACTACGAACACATCTCCGGCGGATACCCACCGGATGTGTTACAGCTTACCCACGAAGAACTTGTGGCATTTCACGGGAAGCACTACCACCCCAGCAACAGCATCACCCTCACATACGGGGCGCAGAACCCGGAGAATTGGATGGAGATCCTTAACAAATACTTCTCTTCCTTCTCCAAGGGCGGGGTGGTAACCGTACCCACTCTGGCCCCTGAACAACGCTTCCATCAGATGAAGAAGATATCACTGCAGGGCCCCCTCAACTCGATGGGCAATCCGCAGCGTCAGAAGCGTATTTCGGTTTCTTTTGGAGTGCAGCAGGAAGACAATCGGTTGGAGGATATGGTGGATTTGAGCGTGTTGGATTCATTGCTCTCAAGTGGTCCCAGTTCCCCGCTTTATCAGGCACTTTTGGAGTCACAGATTGGTAGTCACTACGCACCGATGCGAGGGTACTCCTCTTATCTCTCTTCACCGTTTGTGTCGTACGGCGTCGAAGGCGTGGACGAGGCTCGACCAAACGCGGAAGAGGAAGTATTAAACGCCGTTATGTCAACTCTACAAAAGGTGGAGAAGGAGGGCTTTGATCAGCGCCGAGTGCAGTCCGTTATCTTCCAAGAGGAACTGCAGCAACGCCACCGTGCTGCGGACTATGGAGTGAGTCTTTGCACGGGGCTTTGCTCAATGGGCCTGTGCCGCGCCGCAAATAATCCGCTGGACTTCATTGATTGGTTGCCACACCTGCGGCGACTGGGGGAACAACAGGTGGCACCACTTCTCCCACGCATCTCGAGGAACCTTCTGAAGAATCCCCATTGCGCATTGGTGTCGGTCTCGGCGAAGAAGGAGTTTTTGGACTCTCTCCGTGATTCACTGCGGTGTATGGAGGAGAAGCTAAATGAGGGTGTCCCGGATGCTCGAAAGGAGGAGATTGAGGCAGAAACGGCAAGTTGGCTTGAGCGTGTTCGTGCACCACAAAATGGTGATATTCTCCCTGGTCTCACCGTGAAGGACATTCCACGTCAGTCATTTTTGGAGCCCACCCCGCAACAGGCAAACCGCGGTGATCTTGCATCTCTTTACACCATTTTAAATCCGACAAACGGATTGGTGTATGTGCATGGACTCGTGCCTTTTTGCTCGTCATTGATGTCATCTATCCAAGGCAGCGGTTCCGTTGAAAACCTGGCAGATGTTCCCTTGTGGCACTCTCTTCTTGGAAACCTGGGTGCGGGAAGTTACTCCTTCAAGGAACTCGACATTGCCACAGAACTTGTGTGCAGCGGTTTTACCTTTTCCCCGATAATTAACCAGTCCTATCGACAAAAGTCTGAGTACATTCTTGGCACCACCCTCGGATTCTACACGACAAAGGAGAAGCTGCGGGAAGCCTTGGAGCTTTTGAAAGTGATACTCCTTGAGCCACGCACCTCTTCCAAAGACGATGATGTGTGTGGTCGCGTCCTGTCTCTCACCAAAGCACGTTGCTCCAAAGTCATTCAACGCCTGCAGCATTACGGTCACCGTGTTGCCACAACACTGGCGGTCTCGCGCTTGACGCGCTGCGGAGCCGTGAAGGAAGAATGGTCCGGCCTCACGCAGTCAACTCATTCTTCTCTCTTGCTGGAGAAGCTTCAAAACAGCGATGAAGCAACTGTGCGCAACGTCATTGTGAATATTTTAAACTCCCACGAAGTGTTTGCCCAATCCCTGGCGTCAAACGTCCGTCATGGCACCTTTTGGGCAACATGCGAAGAGGAGCACCGAAAGGAGGTGGAAACGATGCTGGCGGCCTTCTTGCAGGGTTTTCCTTCTGTTTCTTCAAGTGCGTCAGTCTCAGTACGAAACTCTTTACAGGTACTAGAGCGATCTATCGGCGCAACGCAGATCCGCAAGCCTCTGCCCATCGATACGTCCTACGTTGGTTTTGCTGCTGCAAACGAGTTGGACTGGCATCACCCGCAGCAGGCACCGTTACGGGTGGCGTGCCAGTTGCTCGGAAATGAGTACCTGCACCGCCGCATTCGCGAAGAAGGTGGGGCCTACGGCTCAGGTGCGGATGCCACCCTTAGAGGGGAGGTGGGTGGCATTACCATGTCCAGCTACCGCGACCCGACGCCGGAGCAAACAATCCGCGTCTTCCAGGAGGCTGCGGATTGGCTTGGAAGTGCGGACAATGTTACGCAAGTGAGGGTCGACGAGGCGAAACTTCGCATCTTTGCGAGCATTGACGCGCCATATTCTGCTGACAGCTACGGTGAATCCTACTTTCTACATGACGTGCATCCAACACAGAAGCAGGCGTTGCGGGACGCTTTATTGAGTGTTGAGCCCAAAGACGTTATAAGCGTGGCGCGGTACTTTAATGTGAGCGGCGAAGCGTCGGCTGTGGTAAGTGTGTTGTGCCCGGAGGCGGCCGTTAATGAGCAGTAATTAAAATAGGAAAAAAGGGGGAGAAGAAATATCTGATGGTTCTTGTGTGCCGCATATGTGTGTGTGTGGTTTCATTTGATTTGGGGGTCGTTGTTGTTTTTTGTTTTTTTTTTTTTTTCACTGCTTGTTGTTTTTCATGTTGCTTTTACACTTTGTTTGTTTGTTTTGTTTTGTTTGGGTTTCTCCTTCGAGGTGCTGCCGTGTTTAGGATCCGGAATTCCATTGCGTGGCGCCGCATGCCTACTCCGATTTGGGCGCTGCGGTTCATTCACCCGCAGGGATTTTCTCGGCATTATTCCGTGCGTCACCGGGGGGAGTGGTGGAGGCGACATTCACTTGTTTGGGCCGCGTGCCAGTGGCGTTTTGTCTACGCGGCGACGAGGGCCGCGTTGACGCTCTCCGCAGGGTGGTTTGCTGCCACCACGCTTGGCGCCTCCGTGGCGTTTTGCCGCACCCTTGACACGCCCGAGTATCTCATCCCGTATTATCTGCGCGACGTCACCACCCGATTCAAGCACTACGCGAGTTACCGTAAGCATGGGAGTCGGTCAAAGTACATGACGGTGGAGGACTTTGTGCGTGCGCTGTTGGCGTCAAAAGACAATGACCCCCTGGACCCTTCGGTGGTGGAAAGCATGACGCGACTCTTCACAGAGCTGGACGCCGATGGCAAAACGTACCTTAGCCTGACTGAGTTCTCCTTTCTCATGCTGCTGTTGACAGCCAAAAGAGAAGATTTACGGGTGCTGTTTTTTGTGCTGGACAAGGACCGTGTCGGTAGTTTAAGCCTGGACGAGTTTGCTGGGGTGTTGCGTGGGTTGGGCCGCGACATGAACGAGGCACAGCTGTTGACGCGTGGTCAAAAGAACGGTATTGTGAGACGACTCTTTGGTGACGATGGACAAAGCCGCTGCTCATTTAGCCAGATTGCAGAGACGGTCGATGCCCTCAACGAGGAGGTATGGACAGCCGAGTTCCGTCAAATTGACACGGACCACAACGACCGCATTACTGCCGAGCAATTCGGAAAACTCATCGCAAACCACATGATTGGGCGCCACCTTCCCTTCCACATTGTAGATAACATACGAAAGTTACGGGGGAGTGGAGAGACCATTACGCTTGAGATGTGGATCGGCTTTCATCGTGTCATGCAATATGCCGATGCATTATCAGAGGCCGTGGAACTGTTCACCTCCTCAGGGCTCCCTTTGCGGAGAAAGGACTTCAACCGCGCAATAAGGGCCGCGGGTCTGCCACCTTTTGCCGATGCGGAGTTGGACCTTATCATGGCCCTTTTTGACCGTAATGCAGATGGCGTTTTGGAGTTTGATGAGTTTATTTCCGTGATGCGGCAGAAGCTCAGCTACCACTACAGTTACCGCGGAGACCCACGAAAAAAGAAGAACCTCCCCGTGCGTTTTTTCGAGTGCGTTGGTGAAGTGTTGTCTCATTAGTTGGGCATTTTACCTTTGTGTTGCATGTATTCTCTATTTACCTCCTGCTTTCCGTTTTTTGTTGTTTCCCTCCCCTCTTTTCTTTCCGTGTGTCTGCTGGAGTTATGCCGTCGTGTACAGATCGCTCCCGCTCGCTCGCTCGCTCTCTTTCTTTTTCTCTCTTTATGTTTGTCTGTTTCTCTACCAATGAAAAAACATGCACGAGTTTTTAATTTTATTTTGTTTTTTGCCTCTAGTCTTTTTTTTTCTTTTTTTCTTTTTTTCATTTTTTTTTTTTTTTTAGAGGTGCGAGGAACTTTTTGTTTATTTGTTTGTCTTCATGCAGCGTTTCTCGCAAAAGCTTGCGGCGGATTTGGAAAACCGCACCGCGTTTTTGGTGCAGCTGCGGGCTCTTCTTACGCAAGCCCAAAAAATACTGCAGGGGAATCAGCGAGGCAAGCTGCAGGAACTGCAGGTGGGCATCGAGGAGTGGGTCAGGGAGGTGGACGAGGTGGGAACACCAGGCACTTCCATTTGTAACCCAAACCTTGAAGCCTCCATCGAACTATCGCACAACCAAGAGCAGCTGCAGGAGGGAGGCCCCGTCGACACAAACGGGGGGGTGGACGATAACAAAAAAAATGGGACTCCCAGAAGCCCATTAAATCCGACAGTGGAAGCCTCGCCGTCGCCACTGACCACGGCACCCCCCACTGCTCAAACGCCGCATGGAGATGAGCTCTCATGCTCCACAGTGGGCATGGGTAACAGCGTGAGCAATGCGGCGTTTCGCGGTTCAGCCAGTAGTTTTTCTGCTTTTTCCAGTGATTTTGAGTTGCGAAACTTGGAGGATTTTGCGGAATTTCTTAGCATGTTTTTCCCCAGTGGTCTTCAAGAACTCGTGAAGCTACGCAGTATAGGACGCAATGCGGCGCGTCTCGTTATTGTGCGCTGCTTTTCCATCATTACTTGTTCCCTTCAACAAGTTTTATGTCAAGTCTACGGTGAAATGCATCACGTTGCAGAATCGACGATGGCCACCAATGGAGAGGATAATGGGCTTCCAAGTGCATCATTTTTTGTTCCTTTGGCACGTGATATTCGTGTTTCCACCAATGCGGTGATGAAGTGCCTAGAGCTTTTGACGGCTCATTGCGACGTACTTTCTATGCGGTTTGCAGCACAGGTTTGCGTGGATATTCTGAAGCAGCTACGTCAGTGTGTCACTCTCTTTGTGTATCGGGCCCTGCGTGGGGAACTGCGCCGTCTGCGTACGATGGGGATCGATGCAAAAGACCGTGATGCACTTCTTCTAGATGCGTCAAGGGTGCGGCAAAGCGCTAAAACGAGGGCAAAAGAATTGCAACTTCTTCTGGGGCCCTCTTTGCTCATTAGTATCGAGCACCTCATGGGCATTGTCCGTCCCACTGTGCGATACTTGATGTCCGTTGTCTCATTCAAAAACACCGTGTCCTCTCAGGAGCAACAAGTCCTCAAGAATGATGTGTGCGCAAATTTATTTACTTTGGCACAGTGGGTGACACCAGCATTGTTGCTGAGGCGACGGAGACAGCAGTCGTCATCGGAGGATAATCTCGCGAAGGAAAGAGAAGGAGATTTTGCCTCGGGGCGATCACCCAAGACCGTCTTCTCGCTGTCGGGGTCGTTACCTGAACTGGACGGTATTGAGGCCACACACACATTTTATTACCAATTCGTTTGTTTTGTCATGGACTCCGTGTTTCCAGTGGTATTTTCGCCTGAATACACCGCTTGCGTCGCACAGCATTGCGGGGATCAGAATGAAGGACAACTTTTGGCAGTACGTGTCCTAAACGACACGATTGTGCAATTAGCCGAAAGGGAAATGGAGGAGTTTCGGCACCTGCTTGGGTGTTCTGCGTGGAGGAAGCGCATTACGGAAGGCATTCTGAACTGCCTTGTGTCGCTGCAACCGGTGGTGCTTGAGGCAGGCCTGGAGACACTTCAACGGATTGTTGTGGGGTGCCCCGAGTCTCTTGGCTCTGAAGTAGGATTTGTGTACACGAGCGGGGTCTTTGGGCTCCTGGAATCGGAAAGCACCCCGCCCGTGATGAGACGATCACTTCTTCGACATGTGATCAGCACTTTCTTTAAACCCACAAGCGTCCCCGATGAGCCATCGCTCTTGCTGCGTCTCTATCGACATTTCGACCTTAACGTGCAGTGGCACCAGCTGAATGTCGTGCAGCAGGCTGTCGCGACGCTCTCAAAGACGGTGCGCTGCGCCGCCCCGGAGGATTTTGCCGACGAGAAGGAGGTGAAAAATGATAGCCAGGAGATCACAGCACCGCGGAAGAGTTTGCCGTTTCTTGCTCTCCAGGGCCTTTCGTTGGCGGTGGAACTGCTCGCCGTGCACATCCCCCGCGATGGTGACGCCGTCGGAGGAAAATCCTACCCAATGCTGAGAAATCGCGACGACAAAATGGAGGAACAACGTGCCGTCGACATCATCAACAGTTCTCCCCTAAAAGGGATAAAAAAGTTGTTTGGAGTCACGGATGACGAAATGAATCCAGGCGGGCATATGAATTTGGCGGGAAAAAATTGGGCACATCAGCACATACCATTACCGGCATCCCCAGCGATAGAGGAAAAGGTGCGTCGCATAGTGCAATTCCTTATGGAGACGCCCTCTTTAAATCCTGAATCGGTTGCGGAATTCCTCTCGCATCCAGCCGTGTTTCCATTGCAGGTCTGTCGGGTCTTCATGGAAGCACTGCCCATCGCTGGCAGGAGTCTCGTGGAGGGATTGAGGAAATTGTTCAGCGTAGTGCAGTTGCCCAAGGAAGGACAACGCATTGAGCGGCTCATTGAGTTCTTTTGCAGTGCGTACTTTAAGGCAAACTCGGTTGATGGTATAGATATTGAGACGTTTCCGTTTGAATCCGAAAACGCATGTTTTATTATGGGCGTGGCGATCATTATGCTAAACACCAATCTTCACAACCCACATGCTGCATCGACGAAAATGACGGATTCCAGCTTTTGTGCACAGCTGAGGGGCTGCAATGAGGGCAAGGACTTTCCAGAACGCTTTGCAAAGAATATATTTAACGAAATTCATCTGCACTCACTCTCCAGCATGAAGGGATTCTGGTCTGCGGGAATGAGTAGCGGTGTGCGCTACGCAAGCGTGCCTTTCCCGCGGAAAATGGATTCCATCTTTTTTTCAAGTGAAGAGCGCCGTGAATTGGCATTTGGTGTGGTGCGGCAGCGTCTCTTGAGTGAAACACGCGAGCTGGTTTACCGCCATAGTAATATTATACAAACCCAATTGGAGGAGATGAAATTAAGAGACTGGTGTTGTGTCACGCGGGATTTGTTTTTCAGCACATGGCCTTCATTGTGTGCGGTATTCGGTGTGGCTGGGCATGGCGCAAAAGTGCCAGAGGAGGCCCTGACTCTCTGCGTGATGGGCCTCCGCAGCAGTTTTCTTGTGGCAACCGCATTTGGCCTGCAGACGGAGTGTGGGGTGTCACAGCTGGCGCTGTTGCGCATGGCTACTTTTGAGCCTATGCGTGATGTGTGCCACAAAAGTATCCTTGAAGTGGCCTCATCGCCTTACAGTGTTTCTTTTTCTGCGCCGTGCTGGGTGCCAGTGGTGGAATTGCTCGTTGCCATACGCAAGCAGCAGCAGCAGCAGCAGCAGACAATGGTTGTCGAGTCTGAATCCGTGTTTGGTCGCGTGGAGGAGTTTACACGTGAATCCTGCGAGAATGACGGTAAAAAGGCAACCCCAGCTGTAACGAGTGTCTGCAAGAACGCTGTGCGAGAAGTGTTGCAGGGTATTTCGACGGTACTGCAGGATACAAGTGTCGATGGAGAGACTCTCTCTGCGGCATTTTATGTGCTGCGGCGATTTCTTGGATACTCGCTTATCTCACACGAACAAGAGCAAGGTGCGGTTGTGACGAACTTCATCAATGTACGTGACTTCAGTAACTTCATTGTTCCGACGCTTGTCGATATCGTAGAGGCACGGAATGGAAATGGGGATGGATACATGCATCTTGTGGTGGAATTTGTCGTGGATATCCTCAACACCATGTGGGGCTCGTGTATCTGTGAAACGAAGCTTGAAGGTGTTGAGCGTCACTCGGAACTCATTAAATGTTTTACATTTTTTCAGACTTGTTATGACCGGTATGGAGCCTCGGCAGAAGTGCGTATGCACGTGCTGCAGGGTGTGAAGGAACTCGTTGCTCGGACGCTTCACAAGGTGGGATCAAAGAAAAAGAGGGCCATGGGGTTTCCTTCGCACACACTTTTTATCATGGCACTGATATGGGCGCAACTGCTGCAGCCCGTCGCACGGGCCCTTTCGGAAAAGGACAGTCTGGGAACAGAGACATGCAGCCTCGCTGTGCACATCCTTCGAAAGCTTGTTGATCTCTGTTGTGGCACGGGAGGTACGACCATTGGCATTCATCTGCAGAAGAAGGTCCGAAGTGTTCCGCTGCTGCTTCTTATGAATGTGGCGTACATTGGGGGCATGTGCAGCGACGTGGATAGTGCGCAGTCGTGTTTGGCGCAGTTTTCCACCATCTGCACGAGCGCTCTGAGTCAGGAGGAGACGGTTTCTCCCGAAGATGAATTGCCACTCCTGGATGCGGCCGACGTGGCGGAATTTGATCCTGTCAGGGAATCTAGCAAATTTCTTTTGCAGCGCCTTATTGAGAATGTGCGGCAAAAGCCAGACGTGCTCGTTCTTCACGCTTTGGAGCGCATGAGCTTACTTCTCTGCTGCCACGTGCAACAGACGCGGACGGACGTCATCACCGCTCTGCGTGCACTGGTGGTGCAACTGGGACCATCGCAGCTGCAGCATCTCGCCGTGCACCTTTCCGACGCCGTGTTGAAGGCATCATTAGGCCACGCGACACCGGAGAACACGTCGCCCATGGCGGACTCAAGTTTTGTGGCCCATGCCCTTTTTAGCCTGAAGACGCCCTTCAACATGCGCAGGTGTTCGCCGACCTCATTCCGTGCCACACTACCCCTTGTGCTGAGCTTCATGTCTCAGGAGTTTCTCACGGAGGTTCCGTTGGAGTACTTGGATTCTGTCGCGGCAATCGTCATGAAACACTGCCTTGTTCCTCTCGTTGTCTCTCCGCGCTCTGCCTTTCAGTTTCGTGCAACCGCCGTCCGTTTCCTTATGCATTGTGCATTGCTCTGCGTCACGCGCCAAACCATTGACGGCAGAGACTCATGCGGCAGTAAGACTGGCAGTAGTAGTAGCAGTATTATTAGCATTAGCAGCAGCAGCAGCAACACCATCGCGGAATGTGTAAGCCTTCTTCTTTTTGCGTTGCGTGTTCCCGTGCGGTTCATTGTTCCTGACGGCGCCGATCACGCCGGGCGCCGGTGGGTGAAGGAAGAAAAGTCGGCTGCCCTTTCAGAGTACATGCGGAAAGGCGCGGACGCCATTCAAGCGTTATGGACCGCAGAAGCGTATGAAGTGACGGGAAGCCGAAGAAGTGCCACGCTTAGCGGCACGGGGAAAACGGAAGCCAACGTGGAGCCGGAAGAAATTGCCCGAACGATGCGTAGCAGTTGGTCTTCGCCCTTTGGAGAGGTGGCAACCGATGAGCAACTGGTCGAATACTGTTCTCTGATGGCGCTGCTGCTGTCGCCGCTGCCAAAAGTGCTGGGTGCTTTTCCCCCACAGGTCTTTAGGGCGAAGAATGGTGATCCGACACCGCACCATTCCCAGCAGCAGCAGCAGCAGCAAGAAGAGGAGAAGCTGTTTGATGCGGTGGTCTGGGCACCTCCGCCGGCGGATCACAAGCTTCTGAAGGAATTGGTGCTGGAGACCACGGGTATATTCTTTTCTATCCTGTGGCGTGTGAACAACGTCGCGGAGATGGAGAAATTTATGACAAGGGCAACTCAAAAAGGACGCGATGCGCCGTCTATATGCAAAAGCAGCGCGCTTCTTCCCCATGCTGCAATCCGGGGAGGACTGAACGCTTTTCTTACACTTGCGCTATGGGTGGACATCCCCGAACTCCGCGATGTTTTTGTGGAAATCCTGCGAATCACGGCAACGGTGCAGAAACTGACACTCAGCATGCGGGAGGCACAAAAGATGGTTGAAGGCGCCGCGGAAACCGCGGCCATGCAGCGCCCGAGCCCACTGGAGCAGCAGCATATACGCAGCTGCAACGTGGGCATGTACCAGGAGCTCTCCTCGGTGGTGGCGCATTGGATAAGGACTGTTGTGCACCAGACGGATGACATGACATCCTCGCTAGCGGCCACGCAACGTGACGAGCTCCGAAGCGTAGCGGGAGATCCCGAGGTGTTTTCAGGCGTGGTGCAGCTCTTGACAGTCGCGGCTGGTGCAGTCATTGTGGCGGTTCGCGACTACTTGGTGTGGTACATTGCCGCACAAGAGCACGAGACAAAACAAACGACGGAGACGTTTGACCCCGACACATGAAAGGTCTCGCCAGACAAAAAAAATATATATAAAATAAAAAATAAAAATAAAAAATTTCAAAAACATATGCAAACAAGAAGGTTGAAGGACCAAAGTACTCAAAGAGAAAAAATGATACAAATGAATGAATGACTGAAGGATGAAACAAAAAAAAAAAAAAAAAAAGTGGGTAAGAAGAAAAGGAATTAGTCACGAAGCTTTTTACCTTGCCTGCTAAGCCCCCTCTCTTCCTTTTTTCTTTTTTTT